AGGGCCGGCGGCGGTGGCGGCTTCGGCGGCTACGGCCGGAGACGGCAGTGGTGGCAGTAGCGGCGAGTGGCGGGGGCCTGTGACCCGGAGCCGCCCCGGGACCCGGGCACCATGAGCCAAGGCCCCCCCACAGGGGAAAGCAGCGAGCCCGAAGCAAAAGGTCCTCCACACTAAGCGGCTTTACCGGTGAGAGGGGCCGGGGCATGAGTGCAGTCGCCGAGGGAAGTGGGGGGGACAGTGAGGGGCGGGGCCTCCCCGGCGGGCGGGGCCCGTTGTGGACTGGGGTGCAGGCGAGCGAGGAGGGTGCAATTTTGGAGGGAGCGGGGGGGCGGGGCCCGGTAACCCGGGATGGAGCAGAAAGAAGGAATTGGGTGGGTGGGAGGTTTGGAGGGAAGCACGTGGACTATTCCCTTCCGCAGTGAGCTTGGGGCGGGCACCGTGCTTTGCGGATTTGGGGTAAGAAGGTGGAAATTGGGGACTGCAGGTCCCAACCCTGCAGGGGTTGGGAAGGTGAGAGTGGGGTCACAGATAGGAGAAAATCCCGGAAGGGAATGGTGCTTAGAACCCTGTAGGATTTACAGGGAAGAGCCCTGGACTGAAATCAAGAGAGCCTGATTCATGTCCTTGCTTTGCCATTCTCTCAGTGTGACCTTGGGCCTCAGTTTTCTCATCCTTAAAAGGAGAGATTTGGATTTGATACGCTTTGAAGTCCCTTATGGGTCTAGTTCTTGGGAATCTGAATGAAAAGAAAGAGGCTGGAAGACTATTTGTGTTAGACTGGAAGGGCAGTGAAGGACTTTGAATCCAGAGTGTTCTTAGGTCATAGGAGCCCATTTCAGGGCACCTGGGGACTCCTGAGTCCTGCTTGCCTTGCAGCCTCATGACTACAGTCTCTTGCCAGGCAGCTTCCATTCCTGGTTTCTGATTTCCACAGTGCCTCTCACACTCCTCAACATCTTCAGCCTTTCAGCCCTCTGTTGGGAACAGGCCATTATGAGCTCTTCCCATCCTGGAGCAAGGATTTTTTTGTGTGTGGGACAACTGGAACATGGGCTCTTGAACTAAAATAGGATGAAGCGTAGAGACCAAGTTGAGTTTTCTTCTTTCTAATGTGGAGTAGGTTTGGGGGTTCATTTGGCTCAGGCTCTGTAGAACAGAGGTATGCATGAGAAGACCTCCTTCAGAGCCATGGCCCCCATCTGGGCAGTGAAAGAGTCAAGAGCGTGTTGTCTTTTCCTCTCTTGAGTAGATATCCTGCCTGCTCTGGCTCCCTAAGCCAGAAGGCAGAGGGGAGTACAGGCTGCTCCAAAAATAGAAAAGTGATCCAATCCACCAGCCCCTGGGCTCCTACTGTGGGCTGCCCTGAGCGGTCTCCAGGTGCTGAGGAGTTGGCTGGGGTGGCATGTGTGCCTCTTCAAGCTGCCAAGTGTCAGCGCTGCCTGTCAGACAGAGCGACCAAGTGTGGGCAGTGTCTGCAAGATTCCTTACTTGTCTCCAGCTTCTGGTAATGGCTCTGGTCATCCTAATCATTCTCAAATCCTGTTCTTTCTCAGGCTACTGCCCTCACAGGACTGACTGACTTAAGCTAACGTGTTTGCGTGTGTGGCTTACATGGGTACACATGGGTGTCTCTGCCTGTAGTTGTGTGTTGTTGGCTTTGAGCAGAGTGGAAATTTGAGGCAGCAGATCTCTTTTTATTATTTATTATAGCATTTGTGATTGGTGGAAAGAACTGGGGGAGGAAGGTCTGATTTGTCAGCCCAAGATAATTGTATTGTTCGACTATGAAACTGTCACTCCAAGCTTCAGTAAATTTGGGACATTCCCACAATCTGTTTACAGAAATGAAATACTGAAATGTTTTAAGCCCTTCAGAAAAGACAGCTGGAAAAGAGGGTGCTAGGACACAAGCACCAATTAATTATGCCAATTTTAATTTAAAAATTTGTTTTTGTTTTTGTTAATGGAGGTACTGGGGATTGAACCCAGGAACCTTGTGCATGCTAAGCATGTGCTCTACCACTGAGCTATGCCTACCCCCCAACTATTTTTTAAAAAACATAATTTTCTTTTTTAACACTGCTAGACCTGGGATTACAGTAGTGAATGAGACACAAGACTGGTTTTTGTAGTTTTTGTTCCAAAGGAGATTACAGTTTAGTGGAGGTATTTATGTTCTAATGGGGAATGGAGAAGAAAGTGCAGAGTCCTCTCAGGTTTAAGAATTTGCAGTTAAAACTACTGAGAGTAGTGGTTATTAACATTTTTTGGATTGAGAATCTGAGGAGAGCTCTGAGGCCTGTCCATAAAAATACATACACATACACACCTTCCCATAGATATGTGCATGACACTGAAGTTAAAAGCTCTTCCCTGGGGACTAAGCTGGCGTAGAGTATATCACTGATGGCCGCCTGATGCTGCCCTGGCATTGAGGGCCAGGCTGGCTGACAGGCTTGACTCCTGTCTCTAGGCAGCCCAGGAGGTGTTTGGAGAAATGCTGAGTTCTTAAGATTGCCTGTGTGAAGGCCTTGATTACCATCTCACCCACTCAGATGGTGTTGGCAGTCACTTTGTCCTGTACAGAGCAGCTTTTAGTGGTGTACCACCTGAGCAATCACAGGATGCTCGCCTGCTGTGGCCTACTTTCTCCAGCCCAGGAGCAGGTTTCAGTGTTCTGAAACAGTTTTAGATTGTTTGGGGAATCATTGCTCCCTACTCTTTGGTTACTTTGTGTCCAGAGCCTTGCCTGATCTGTTCTCACAGCTGCTAACATCCTCGGGGTTTCATGCTTCCAAAGATGATAATTACCTAAGGGCCTCTTAGCCAACCATTGTAGAGTTTCCTTGGACTTCCCTCAGAGTCTGGAATCTCCTCCTCAGGATGAAGACTAATACTTATTGAGCATTTACCATGTGCAAGGCACTGATACGAGTATTTTTTGTATTAGCTAATTTAACCCTCACAAAGTAGGTGATAATATTAATCCCATTTTATGGATGGGAGAATTGAGACATAAGGAAGTTAGATATTGCCCAGGACCACATAGTTGGTAAGAAGTAGAGCTAGGATTTGAATCCAGGCAGTCTGGTTCCAGAGCCTACACTCTATATTAAACAAATGGTTCCTTCAACAGAATCCAGGAGACCTTATGACTAAGCAGTTCAGGGATAACCCTCCCTCACTTTCCCATGCCCCATTATTCCAAAGCACAGTTTTCTACTAGGAATGCCTTTCCTTTATGTCAGAGATAATAAGCCCTTGTATAATAATCATTCATTCATTCCACCAATCTTTATGATTGCCTACTATATACCAGTGATGTTATGTAAATTATTTCATTTAATCCTTGCAACAGCCCTTTTAGGTAGCTGCTATTATTTCTGTTTTTATGGATGTGGTAACTAAAGCTTAAAGAGGTTAGGTAATTCGCCCAAGGTTACAGAGTTAGTAAGACACAGCCAGGTTCAAATCCTAAATTTTCTGCCTAGCATCACAGCCTGTGCTCTTTCCGTTGAGAGAGTCTACCTTCCCATATCACAGAGTTTCTCTGCCTTGACAGTTTTCTCTACTGTTGACAGTT